GGTTCTCTCAGGTTTGTTTTTTGAAGCCGGAACTCTTTCACCAAGATCAGCACGCAGCCACCAGACGATTACGAGGCTAAGCAAGGGTTTTTTAAGTGAAAGCTGCGGTAAACTGATCTCTTTACTCCAACTGGCCTCCTCAGTCACTTACAGCAGGATTTATTGAGCCTCTCGGTTAGCGTGAACGTCATCAGGTCTCGGGTACGAGTGGCCATGAGCACTCCCTTGATGAACACAAGGATCTGTTTCATGATGCTGGTCGTTGGGTTCCTGTGTCGTTCATCTCAGCTTTGTCTGTTTCTCCAAGGGACCCAGAAGAACTGACACAACGTGTGAACCTTGTCCCCGCAGGCAGTTTTTCACCGCAGGGTGTGAATTGTTCACTTTGTACCAAGTAAGACCTTGTTTGTTAAAGAATGTCTGTAAAAAGTGTGTTGTAATAAACGTATAAGCAGAGTGATCCCACTATGCTTATACGTTTATTACGTTGACCAGTAGTCAAGTTTCCCCTGAGATGGACCAACCCCCCATCGGGAGATCCAAGACGTCACCAACCCCCCAGGCCCGTTTCATTTGGTCACTTTCAATACATCTACAAGCGTTCCTGGTAATGTTCCGTTTTTAACACCAAAAGCACTAAAGCTCTTCTTCATTTCTCTTTTTTGACAGTTGCTCAGAAAACCAAGTGGAGGTCAAAGGAGGAAACCTGACCAGTGACACTGTTTGTGAAGCTGCTTCAGGACGCCTTTACTGGTTAATACCTGTACCTGTAGTTGTACTTGTAATGGTACTAATAGGAACACTGGTTGTCCTCTGGATCAAAAGTTAGTACTTGTCTTTGCAACCCTCATCTGATTGGCTGACATGACTCTGTTCCATCGTTGCCTTCACAGCCTTATTGTTTAAGCTGATACCTTTCTTGCTTTTGTATTTCAGGGAGAAATCAAGAGAAGCAACAGGTACGTTTGCTCCATATGCAAATGTTTGTCTCAAATAGGCTGCACCACATTAAATCTGCTCCATTACAGAGAACCTCCCCCCTGTAATCTGGGAAACAGGGAACCGTATTTTGCATTAGTGCGCTAATTGAACTCGTACGTTAACCCTCAACCTGAGGAACCCGTTTTGGAAGAAGATCTTTGCTCAAGTGTCAGAGTCCGACTTTTACAAGCTTCATGAGGTTGAAGCCTGCTGGATGTTGTTGGGACGCCTCAAAGTTAATTCATTAAATGCAAATGTCAGTGAAGACGGACTAAGTAGTAGCAAGTAGCTCAGACTGCTGCGCCCCGTCGGTGAGCAGAGAACAAGATATCTATCTGCACGCTGCATGACGGAGTGTGCAGCTGTTCAACCTGTATGCCGCCCAGCCCGAGTGCACACCACGACATCTGACCCACTTCTGTCTCACTAATACAAGTAATAACAGCACACACATTCACTACATACAGGTATGTTCAACCACCCGTGATCCCATAACTTCAGCATCTCTCTGGTGTCTGGAGGAGTTCAGTTCAGTGGCTGCAGGACGAGCTGTTCTTCCATGTGGTTTGAAATGAGTGCTGTGGGACAACGGTCCAACGTGTTGACATCTCAGCAGGGGCCCAGGAGCAGCGTAGCATCTGAGGAAGAGCTGTTGCCGTTGCCGCGTCTGCTGTAGCCCATTCGGGAAGGACCGCCATGTTGAGGTGGAGCGGGGACCCTTGAGTTGTAGACAGAAGGGCGGACAGAACTCCAGATATGGCCGCCCTGGAGGCCCAAGACGTTATCAGGACGATGACTGGATGCTGAATCAACAGACCTCCCCCACAACGCCCCGGCTATACCCACAGTTTGTACGCACGCTGGAATTGTGGTGACATTCATCACATGATGTGACTGTCTGGAGCTTTACAATCCATCACCACGCAGTCCACCAGCGAGCTACAGCAGCGCGGGGACAAGGACCGCCGCCTCATCATCACAACTAGGGATAGCCAGAGGGGAAGTACAGGCTCAGCGTACTCACACTTATGCCCCTGGAAGAACCCACCATCACTCACAATGTAGAGCCCACTCACGGACTGCAGAGGTGCACCAGCCTCATTGCACCACTTTCTCTATGGAACACTCCAAATACCCAGCTACCTTGGACGCGCCTGACGTCATGTGCTCAGAGGCGTGGACGCTGCCGCCCGCACCGACTCTAACCCAATCACCACAGAACTCTGTTAGACCAACAGCATAGTTAGTGCACCTTGATTGTCTTTACATGTACGTGTGTCCCCTTGTTGGGGATTCGTGGGTGGAGCCGGTAGACGGTTAACTACGTCGTAGTCAAAGGACTCGATGTGGTCTGAGAATCCTCGGCTGAGGTGGTGACTTTTTTTAATTAAATTCTTTTGACTAACTTTTCGATCCGAGATGTCTTCTGTCCGTCTGGAGTTTCTTCATTTTGAAAGACAACAAACCATCAGAGGGCGACTGGCGAAGCTACACGGCGAGCAGCACGTCTCTCTCCGGCTAGCGGCTCTGCTGCTGGCGGCGGGTCCAAGTTGTAAAGTGGCTTCCTTGCATTTTCTTACGCGAATGACCGGAGATCGTTTGATTCTTTCCGTTTTGTCTTTATTTTACGCAGCAAAGCGTCAACGTGACAGATAAACGATGTGCTCTCGTGCCTCGTGCAGCTCTTCTGTGTTACCTGCTGCAATCATGACGTCATACATGGAGACACACAAGGAGCGTCAGTCCAACATGAATGTTTCCATATCTCACATATCTTTAGTTCCAATGACCATAGATTAAATGATTAATACTTCCCAAATTCCAATGAAGTAATACAAACACTTCTGGCTCTTAGAGACTGTACATATGCTGTAAACTGTTAACAGTTCATATATTGTCCATAAAGTAAAAAAGGTATTGTTTCAGGTACTGTTTGTTTTAGAAGTGTGTTTTTAGCACTGGGGGGTATTCCAGAAAGGATTAACAAGCTCTGAGTCTGTCCTTGAACTAGTTGACTCACTCTGAGACGGGATGATCTGCGTTAGTTCAATCGACTGAGTATGTTCACCTTGAGTTGAGCGCGTGCATGACGATTATAAAAAGACATCATCAATGGAGCCCCGATACCACGAGTCACCACGAGTCACCATGACAACAGTAAATAAAAGAGCTATTTCCCTGCGATGGAGTTGGAGGTCCTTCTGCAGGTGAGCGTGAGCACGTATTTCACAGCTGCAGCAGCGGAGGAGAGAGAGACTGCGTGGGGAAGAATCGCTGCCCGAGTCAACGCGTAAGTTTGAATGAACTGTTCCATTGACATGACATTTAACCGTAAGATCATCGCAGCCTGTAGTTATGAATATAAGTAGGAATGAAATCTTTTCATTTAGGTGCAATCCAACAGGGACAAAAGGACCTGGGAAGCAGCTAGAAATGAAATTTAAAAACATAGTTAAAAAGGTATGACATATATTGCTACGATTGCACCTCACTTTAATTTTTATTCATTTTTTGTAATTGACTTAGTTGACTATTAAAGTAAATATTAATTCAGTGGCTACTTGAAATAGTAAATTAAACCCCTAATAAAATGTTGTTTTTACACGTCTTTTCACTTAATACCCCACTTAGGTATAAAATAAAAATGTGTCTAAGTGTCTCCTATCGAAGTCATTTAAAATGTGACGCTGTAGTTTAGGGCTGGCTCAGGTTAGACGGACCAGCCCTTAGTTAAGCTGCTAGAGGCTTAGACTGCCGGGGGAATTCTTAGGACACACCGAGCTCCTCTCTCACGCTCTCGTTCTGCCATAATCCACGTTTTATTAATGCACATGACTAATTCAGCTTCTTTCAGGGAGTTTTTTTTGTGCTTTCTCCCCTATCAGGTCTCCGTAGATCGTGGTTCCTTCTGGACCCTGGTCCTGACACCTACCGTGGCCCTGCTGACGCCTGCTGCTGCCATCATCATCATCATTATTATTATTATTTTAGATATTAATCATATTACTGTACTCGTAAACCAACATTACCCTCTCCTAAAGTCTCTGTGCTCTCCCTCCCCACAGGCTTCTGTGGATGGTGGTTCTATGTGATGGTGGTTCTATGTGATGGTGGTTCTATCTGATGGTGGTTCTATCTGATGGTGGTTCTATCTGGTGGTGGTTCTATGTGGTGGTGGTTCTATGTGATGGTGGTTCTATGTGATGGTGGTTCTAGCGGATGGTGGTTCTACCTGATGGTGGTTCTATCTGATGGTGGTTCTATCTGATGGTGGTTCTATCTGATGGTGGTTCTATCTGATGGTGGTTCTATCTGGTGGTGGTTCTATGTGATGGTGGTTCTATGTGGTGGTGAAATTGGGAATCCAAAACTATGTTACGGAAAAACTGACAATAAGATGGTGGAGCCAACGATGGTTTGGGACGCCTTAACGGCAGTTATGAGAGTCAGATAAATTTCGGAATCGACCTACGCAAAAAAAAAGAAAGAAATAAGAAACGTATATGAAAAATATAGAAAAACAGAGAGAATTGGATAGAGACTACCAGAATCCGGCTGACTTGGACACACAAAAGAAAATTAAACTCATAAAATTAGAGATGGATAAACATCTAACAGGATGAGCAGGTTTCCCCCGGTTACCTGGTCGGAGTCTGGTGGCTGCCTGCTGTCATACCTGTTGTGCATATCTCTCTCTCTCTCTCTCTCTCTCTCTCTCTTCCCCTCTCTTCCCCTCTCTTCCCCTCTCCTCCACCCCCCCCCCCCCAGCAGACGTCTGTGGTGTGGTAGGGCAGCCGCCGTGGATACTCCTGTTTCCTTTTAGTTCGATGCCCTTGACAACACCCGTCTCTTACACTCTACCCTCATGCACATCCTACACTACTGATAGTACTGACGTTCTCATCTGGAATGTTTGTGGATTTTTTGTTGTCTTATGTTAAATAAAGAATATTTAAACAGTGCAATCGTGTCATGGCCCAAAGAGCCAGGTCATATGGCAGCTGTGGCAACATCTGTGTGCACCCATGTCGGGGCTGACTTTTGAGCAGCAGAAGGAGCTGCTGATGTTGCAGTTTGAACAGGAGAGAATCCGGTTAAACGTGGAAACCGAGGGACAAATTCAAATCGAAAAGGTTCGGCAGCAAACAGAAAAAATGAAACTAGACTTGCAGCAGTATAAATTGAGTTTGATTTGTGACGGTAAGCTTTCCCAGAGTATAGCAGAGGAAAGTTTCTCTGAGTCTGTGCGGGTTGGATTCGATGTCGGGGCTAATTTGCGTTTAATGCCCAGATTCAGTGAGAAGGATCCTGATACTTTGTTTGAGCGTATTGCAGATGCAAGAAAATGGCCTGATGCTGATAGGACCTTGATGCTTCAGTGTGTACTTACGGGCAGGGCCCAGGAAGCATATTCAGCGATTTGTGATTTGATAGTGTTGGAACAATTTTAAATGTGATTCCTCAGAGTATTACAGTGTATGTAAGTGAACAGAAGGCAACCACTGCACTCAGAGCGGCTGAGCTGGCGGATGATTTTGTGTTGACGCACAAAAGTGGTTTGGATGAGATGTGCTCAACCCGTGATAGACGTGAAGGTAACAACCTTGGGAGCGCTCCTTTCGGGGTCCAGTCCTTAGTAGCCCGTCCCACGCATGCATTTAAAGCCACACGTGTGAGAGATGATGGTGGCAGAGGGGCCATATGTTGTAATTGTCAGGGCTCGGGCCACTGGAAAGATCAGTGCCCTGTACTACGAACTAGGAATAAACGAAGGTCTTATCCATCTGCTCCTGCTCGGGCCTGTTCCAGTGTTCAGGGGCCAAGTCTTGAATGTGTTGGTCCAGAGAGTGATGATTTTGAGCCGTTCGTTGCTGATGCTCTAGTTTCTCTGGTGGGAAGTGAGGAGCGTGTGCCTATAAAGATTTTGAGACACAAGTGCTAAGCATTCCTTCATTTTGGAATCAGCATTGCCTTTTTCACCTGCAACAGAAATGGGGGATTTTATTCTGATGCGAGGTATGGAGACGGGTTTGGTACCTGTACCACGGCACAAGATGGTGCTTGATTGTGACTTGTTGCAAGGCATTGTTGCAGTGGGTGTGTGTCCAGCATTGCCAATTGATGGGGTGGAAATGATTCTAGGAAATTACCTCGCTGGTGGGGCAGTCTGGCCTTCTGTGCCGCCATCTCCTGTGGTTGCTCCAGAGTTAAAGGTGATTGCTGGGCCAGATGACTGTGGTCAGATATCCAGATGTGTTTCCAGCCTGCGCCGTGACCCGTGCGCAGTGTGCTAGGACTGTTTCAGACGTTAGTGGAGAGCAAAGAGAGACTAAAGTGGTGATTCCTTTACCTGATCTTCCCCCATCCGTCCCTCGGCTGGAATGGGTTAAAAGTCAGCAGGTTGATCCGTGTCCGTCTGGTTTGTTGACCAGTATTTTGCCGGAAAGTCAGGTTGGAAATGTGGCTCTTGGCTATTTTCTCCAGGATGGGTTGCTTGTGAGGAAATGGGTGCCTTGTAAAGGTGATTTTGTTGGTGAGCCAGTGTTTCAAATTGTTGTGCCTGACAAATTCCGTGTCACAGTATTAATGATTGCACATGACAAATCCGGTCATTTGGGTGTGAGGAAATCTTATGACCGCGTTTTGCGATATTTCTTTTGGCCGAAGTTAAAGCGTGATGTCTCCAATTACATAAAATCATGTCATACATGTCAACTTACAGGTAAGCCGAGTCAGTCAATCAAGCCAGCACCTCTCTGTCCCATTCCAGCGATCAGTCAACCATTTAGATAGATAGATATACTTTATTGATCCCTCAAGAGGGAAATTTTGGAAAATTTGATCATAGATTGTGTGGGGCCTTTACCAACCTCAAAGTCTGGTTGGTCTTATCTGTCTGTGATGTGCCAGACAGCAAGATATCCTGCAGTATATCCTCTGCGTTCACTTTCTGCAAGATCAATAGTCAAGGCATCTTTTCCATTTTTGGCGTTCCACGTGTGATTCAGAGCGACCAAGGTTCAAACTTTACATCGCACCTGTTTGGACAGGTGTTGAAGATGTTGAAGGTGAAGCATAACCGTGCGTCTGCTTATCATGCGCAGAGTCAGGGAGCATTGGAACGGTTTCACCAGACATTAAAGTCCTTGTTGCGTGCGTACTGCACAGAGGTAGGGAGAGATTGGGAGGAAGGATGTTGTCAGCCCGAGAAGTTGTTCAGGAGAGCACTGGGTTTAGTCCCAATGACCTTGTTTTTGTCCATACAGTGCGTGGACCAAGTGGTCCCTTGGTAGTTCTGCGGGGTGGCTTGGGTGACGCTGATCCACCCAAGACTTTAATAGACTTTGTAAATGGTTTCCGTCATCGTTTATATACAGCTGCTCAAAAGACACGTGACAATTTGGAAGTGGCTCAGTTTAAAATGGAAACTGTCTATGACAGGAGACCAGGTTTTGGCTTCCACTCCAGTTGTTAAGTTCACCATTTCAAGGAAAGTTCTCAGGCCACTGTGGAGCGAAGAGTGTCAGAGCAGAATTATGTCATTTCCACTCCAAAGCGTAGGAAGTCCTCTCGCCTCGGTCATGTCAACTTGTTGAAGCCTTATTATTCACGTGATGTTACTGTTGCGCCTGAGTCCAGCGTACAGAGCTTGGGTGTCAGTCCGGTACTTACTATTGGTTCTATGTCCTCCGGGTATGGTGGACAGGGAGGAGGTGGATGTTCGAGCACCTGATGACCCTGTGATGTGTGGTAGACTAAAAGAAATCATCTTAAGGGGGAGGGTGTGGCGACCCCTGCTGTTGAGGTAGCAGCCTTCCAGTGGGATTGAAGTATGTGGGCTGGGTTTGGTGATTGAAGGCACCTGGGCCCGGCGCCCTGAGATTAGAAAACCCAGCGTTCATTCTCTCTCTCTCTCTCTCCCCCAGCAGACGTCTGTGGTGTGGTAGGGCAGCCGCCGTGTTAAATCCTGTTTCCTTTTAGTTAGATGCCCTTGACAACACCCGTCTTTTACACTCTACCCTCATGCACATCCTACACTACTGATTATACTCACATCTCATCTGGAATGTTTGTGGATTTTTCGTTGTCTTATGTTAAATAAAGAATATGTTAAACCTCTTTAAACAGTGCAACTCCAATCTTGTAATGGCCCAAAGACACAGGTCATTGCCTCGTCCGAGCCTTGTTCCTGCAGAGTCTGACGGATTCCCTGGCTTCCCTTCTCATCTCGCCCGCCACAACTCTGGAAAACTCCCTCCAGCCAGTCAAGTCGCCGAGCACGTGGCTCCTGCCGCCCGGACCCTTGTGCTTACCGGTTTTCTCCAGCGTTCCCCCGGCCACGGGTTCAGCGCTGCTTATGGAAATCCCACTTCTGCCGAAATAAAATCCTTTTTTTCATCCACTGAATCCTGCTGTTGAGTCCTACCGAGTAGAACAGAGTAGAACATACGGTCGGACAGATGACGTCGTTGCATTCCTTGATTGGCCTTGTGAATTGTTGCCTGAATTGCTAGATCTCTTGAATGCATATGGACAGATAGCAGGATACAAGATAAATATTACTAAAACCCAAGTACTCACTATCAACTATACACCACCAAAGGAGATCCGGGAAAAATACAATTTAAATTGGAATCTAGAGAAAATGAATTATTTAGGGATAGAAGTGACAGGAAGCTTATCAGGACTATATAGGGCAAACTGAAGATATTTAAAGATATACATAGACCACCCTAACATTGGATTTTAGCTCAAGGATTGAATTAATAAGAACGAATGCATCACCCAGACTTTATACATGTTCCAAGCATTATAATAAAGCCTCAAACACAATTTGTATCATGGGACAGGATGATATCCAGATTCATATGGGGGGCAAGAGAGAGATTCAGAACCCTCCAGCTAAAGAGGGAGAGGGGGGCCTGAGTCTGCCCAACTCGAAAGACCACACGGCCCAGCTGAGACATGGACATTGTAGGTGTAAACTTGAAGCAAAATGGAAAAATCATTTAGAATGTGTCCGGTACAGAGTATTATACAGGGAAACATTTAAGAAGGTTAGAAATCAAATGGATTCAATCACAACATTTACCTTGGAATTATGGTTTAAAATGACAGAGATTGATGTACGTGATGGGGACACGTATCTATTCAAGATACTCATGGTTGCAGGCAAAAAGGCCATCACAAGGACGTGGGGGATGGAAGATCTACCCCCTCGGACCCATTGGGTGGACACAGTGGGGGAAATACACATCATGGACACACTGACACAAAGGCTACGGCCGACAGGACCACAGATGGACCGTAAATGGAGGAAGTGGACTCGATGGCAGTTGACACAAAGTTGGGCACTCCTCCACTCCTCCGCTCTCTTCACTGGTACCGGTGGCCACCGTGCCGCCCTGGCTTACTACTCAGTTACTTTAATCATTTCTGTCATAGGAATCATTTCTGTCATATAGTCTCATGTATTATACATTGTTCATTCTGTACACATGGCATCCATTGTAGTCTGTCCATCCCGGGAGTGGGATCCCCCCTCTGACGTTCTCTGCGTAAATATGACCTTCCACCGAAAACATTACGTCGCAACTAGTCCGACGTTTCCTAAAAAATGGACAAACAATAAATTCACGAAATGCGTGATTTCAAAGTTTGTCCAGCTGTTTACTGAGAGGGAGAGAGGATTTAAAGGCAGTTTTACTTTTCTACAAATTAGACGTTAGAAGTTCCCTAGTTTAATTTAATCAAATATTGAAATGAAGGGTAGGTCTTACATTGAGCTACCTGGTGAGGTATAGTGTGGTATATTATTAGTGTAATGCTGCTTATGCTTCAACTTGTCAGAAAACAGTAAAAAGTGTGTGTTTTCATCGTCAGAGATTATTATGCACAACTGCAAAATGTGCAGCACCATGCCGAGTCAAGAGAGACTCCAAAAGCAGAAGGACAGGGAATATATCCTGTGTTTATTTATTCATTGTATTATTCATTTTCAATTTGCTGAATAATTTTGGCGATGAATGCCCTTTTGTTTTGGTTTGAGCACCTGCCCCCCAAAAATCTCTGTGCCTGATATTGCATCAAACAGTGCACTGATTAATGAGTATTGTTGTGTACATTGATGAATACAAATTAGTCTTTGTGTGGTGGACGGCTGTTGCCGTTACACTCCCATTGGCCCTGGTTTATTTATTAACTTGTATAATGTTACTCTGGTAATGTTTGGATCAACTCGCTTTGGCGTTGACCGTTACTGTAAAAATGTGCGTACTTCCGGTCCTTCATGTTTGAAAGTCAGGAAAGACAAACACGGGATTTTGGTTTCGATATCCCGTCGTTCTAAAATGCAGACGCAGCTTTTTGTCCGCCTCACTCCGGTTAAAGATAAGTGTTGTTTGAACAGCAGAAGAGCTTTTTAATATATGTTATATATATATATGATATATGTATATATCAAATAAATTATTCCAACAATCCAGAAGAACCAGCCGCCATTATGGAGGGAGAGAAGAAGGAGGGAAAAATGGCGACATGTTCGCGGAACTTAAAAGCTTGAATATCGTCAAACTGTAGAAACGGGTGTTTGTAGAATGCGTCGGTCGCTCTTCTGTAAGTGTCTCGCAGCACAAAGAGGTTCTGAGGTGAAGTTATCGTGACTTTAACTAACGCCGCTGTTGTTTAGGTGCGGTCCTCTGTGTCTCCGTCCTCGTCACTCCAGGGACGTGTTGTCCGTCCAAGGAGTACGAACTACCGGGCGGCCGGTGCTGTCCGATGTGCCACGAAGGTAAGCGGACACTCCACCAGCGTCTCCCCGGTTTACAACAAGTGTCGCTCTCCGCCCGCTGCCGCGCAGTGACGGCAGGTCGCGGGGGTCGGTGGAAGGGTCTCTCCTCAGTAGACGTGGACCCGCCTCCTCCTCACGTGACATTCAGCGGTTTCGTGACGGGCGCGGACGGTCCGGTCAACGGGGGAAGATCCGCGCCCGTGTATATTATTTAACAACTGTGTGTTACTGCGAAACATTATCCTTGGAAAAGTTATTGCATGAATTTACATGAATTTCTCTCTAAATGTTTGAAAAAGTGACATATGAACATTGTCGTGCTTTTTTTTTGAATATGATAATTACATTGTAGCAAAACTGCACCATTTTACAAACGTGCCCCATAGCGAATAGACTGACAGGCCGTTCATTACATTAGCTGACACGTATATCTAAAGCGACTAAGGCTACAATAAGTGCATTTCAACCATAAGGACAAAGGAACCTGCCACCGAGCACTTTTCACACTCGGCCCTACTGCTGCTGCGAGCGTCACGCGGACATATTTATACTCATGTCCGTGTGGACCTGGATTACATTGAGAATATGGACAACTATTTGGTTCTCTTTTAAATCGGCGAGAGTTTCACTTTCGTTTCTAAATAAACTCTAACGACAAATATATTGGGTGAAACTTAAGGTTACTGTGCACGTTTTAACAAATACATTTCTGAAACGTTTTTCTAATAAAGAATGTTCTCTATGACGATGGGGACATGTTAAGCTCAGCAAGATCCAGCTCCACACATATGATGAAAATGACAAAATATGAGTTTATAGGCACAAAGCCGGAACAGCAGCTTCTGCTGGGTAGGGTAGTTAAAGTCAAATATTTATCTTTTTTGTTTTGGTACGTTCACACCAGAAGCGAATTATTTGCGTGAGTAGAGTCCATGTAAAGTCAATGCACTGACGCGTCTGGACGCGAATGGGGCGAATTTCAAACGGGCGGCGCGAATGACGCAAAAGACGCGGCGCGAAAAAGCGAAACGAGCGACACGAATAAATCGCTCTTTCGCCCAAAGGTGAAATATTCCAACGAAAGCCAATCAGCGTTGAGATGCTCCGCTCGTCATCACTGAACACACGTTATTAAACAGCCGCTCAAGTTAGTTAGTGTGTGACCGAGAGACGCACCGAGCCGACACAACAGGTCATCAGACCGGCTGCTGGTCCGCCTGAAGCAGCGTGTAGTTAAATGATTCTATTGAAGCTCTGATCCAATGGGGTTACGTTAGGCACCTTATCTGCTGTTCTGATTGTTTCCCATCGTTGATGATCTGAAGGTGCTTTTGTCTTGAACAGGTTCAGTGGTTAAAAGAGACTGCACCCCTCAGTCAGGCACGCGGTGCGTCCCCTGTGTGGACGGGACGTATATGAACCAACCCAATGGGCTGACTAAGTGCTTCCCCTGCAGCTCCTGTGACCAAGGTACGTCCATAATCAGCTGAGTCACCTTTCACTCTCAGGACACCCTCCTGTTATTATACTGGACAAAATTAAACCGAATAAAAGACACAAAGCAACTATTTGCAACCCTGGTAATGGATGCAACTTGATTCCCAATGAATCTGATGCTGTGCTGTGAGGTTGATGCCACGTTGGCTGTAAAGAGGACCGTAGTCATCTTCTGTCCGTCTCATATCATTCAGTTCATTTGTTGCAATCCGCTGTCCAGCATCTTTGTTTAACTATAATATAATGAGTCTGTGTTGGTTTTCAGGCCGTGGTCTCTTTGCCAAACAGAACTGCACATCAACAAGTGACACCGTCTGTGACGTCATCGCTGGTCACTTCTGCACGGACCTGATAGAAGATAAAGAATGCCGTTCGGCACGCAGACATTCAGACTGTGAACCTGGTCACAGGGTCAAAGAGCCTGGTGAGAAAAACTCCAGTCACACAGTGACTACGTCCACGGCTCGTGGTGGTGTAGCTGGTTATTGATCTCTTTGGCCACAGCTCAGGCACGTCTGTGCCTCATGTCCATGTCCAGCACACCTTCTAGGTCTCCTCCAGTCTGGTCTCTGAGGCCTGAACTCTTTCACTAGATTCAGCATGCAGACACCACGACGTATACGAGGATAAGCAACGGTTCTTCTAAGTACAGCTGCAGTAAACATGATCTCTATACTCCAACTGGCCTCCTCAGGTCACTTACAGCAGGATTTATTGAGCCTCTCAGGTAGCGTGAACGTCATCAGGTCTCGGGTACGAGTGTGCATGAGCACTCCCTTGATGAACACATGGATCTGATTCATGATGCTGGTCGTTGGGTTCCTGTGTCGTTCATCTCCGCTTTGTCTGTTTCTCCAAGGGACCAGAAGAACTGACACAACGTGTGAACCTTGTCCCGCAGGCAGTTTTTCACCGGAGGGTGTGAATTGTTCACTTTGGACCACGTAAGACCTTGTTTGTTAAAGAATGTCTGTAAAAAGTGTGTTGTAATAAACGTATAAGCAGAGTGATCCCACTATGCTTATACGTTTATTACGTTGACCAGTAGTCAAGTTTCCCCTGAGATGGACCAACCCCCCATCGGGAGATTCAAGACGTCACCAACCCCCCAGGCCCGTTTCATTTGGTCACTTTCAATACATCTACAAGCGTTCCTGGTAATGTTCCGTTTTTATCATCCCTAGTTCATACAGTCATGAAAAACCTGGAAAAGTCATGGAATTTTGTTAAATGAACCACATGAACATAGAAATATAATGTACAATGTACAGCTATGATTGTATTCAATGTAATCAACCGAAATCCGTCATGTGCTCAGAGGCGTGGACGCTGCCGCCCGCACCGACTCTAACCCAATCACCACAGAACTCTGTTAGACCAACAGCATAGTTAGTGCACCTTGATTGTCTTTACATGTACGTGTGTCCCCTTGTTGGGGATTCGTGGGTGGAGCCGGTAGACGGTAAACTACGTCGTAGTCAAAGGACTCGCTGTGGTCTGAGAATCCTCGGCTGAGGTGGTGACTTTTTTTTATTAAATTCTTTTGACTAACTTTTCGATCCGAGATGTCTTCTGTCCGTCTGGAGTTTCTTCATTTTGAAAGACAAGAAACCATCAGAGGGCGACTGGCGAAGCTACACGGCGAGCAGCACGTCTCTCTCCGGCTAGCGGCTCTGCTGCTGGCGGCGGGTCCAAGTTGTAAAGCGGCTTCCTTGCATTTTCTTACGCGAATGACCGGAGATCGTTTGATTCTTTCCGTTTTGTCTTTATTTTACGCAGCAAAGCGTCAACGTGACAGATAAACGATGTGCTCTCGGGCCTCGTGCAGCTCTTCTGTGTTACCTGCTGCAATCATGACGTCATACATGGAGACACACAAGGAGCGTCAGTCCAACATGAATGTTTCCATATCTCACATATCTTTAGTTCCAATGACCATAGATTAAATGATTAATACTTCCCAAATTCCAATGAAGTAATACAAACACTTCTGGCTCTTAGAGACTGTACATATGCTGTAAACTGTTAACAGTTCATATATTGTCCATAAAGTAAAAAAGGTATTGTTTCAGGTACTGTTTGTTTTAGAAGTGTGTTTTTAGCACTGGGGGGTATTCCAGAAAGGAGGTTTAACAAACTCTGAGTCTGTCCTTGAACTAGTTGACTCACTCTGAGACGGGATGATCTGCGTTAGTTCAATCGACTGAGTATGTTCACCTTGAGTTGAGCGCGTGCATGACGATTATAAAAAGACATCATCAATGGAGCCCCGATACCACGAGTCACCACGAGTCACCATGACAACAGTAAATAAAAGAGCTATTTCCCTGCGATGGAGTTGGAGGTCCTTCTGCAGGTGAGCGTGAGCACGTATTTCACAGCTGCAGCAGCGGAGGAGAGAGAGGCTGCGTGGGGAAGAATCGCCGCCCGAGTCAACGCGTAAGTTTGAATGAACTGTTCCATTGACATGACATTTAACCGTAAGATCATCGCAGCCTGTAGTTATGGATATAAGTAGGAATGAAATCTTTTCATTTAGGTGCAACCCAACAGGGACAAAAGGACCTGGAAGCAGCTAAAATGAAATTTAAAAACATAGTTAAAAAGGTATGACATATATTGCTATGATTGCACCTCACTTAAATTTTAATTCATTTTTTGTAATTGACTTAGTTGACTATTAAAGTAAATATTAATTCAGTGGCTACTTGAAATAGTAAATTAAACCCCTAATAAAATGTTGTTTTTACACGTCTTTTCACTTAATACCCCACTTAGGTATAAAATAAAAATGTGTCTTAAGTGTCTCCTATCAAAGTCATTTAAAATGTGACGCTGTAGTTTAGGGCTGGCTCAGGTTAGACGGACCAGCCCTTAGTTAAGCTGCTATAGGCTTAGACTGCCGGGGGACTTCTTAGGACACACCGAGCTCCTCTCTCACGCTCTCGTTCTACCATAACTCACGTTGTATTAATGCACATGACTAATTCAGCTTCTTTCAGGGAATTTTTTTTGTGCTTTCTCCCCTATCAGGTCTCCGTAGATCGTGCTTCCTTCTGGACCCTGGTCCTGACACCTGCCGCTGCCCTGCTGACGCCTGCTGCTGCCATCATCATCATCATCATTTTTTAGATATTAATCATATTACTGTACTCGTAAACCAACATTACTCTCTCCTAAAGTCTCTGTGCTCTGCCTCCCCACAGGCTTCTGTGGATGGTGGTTCTATGTGATGGTGGTTCTATCTGATGGTGGTTCTATCTGATGGTGGTTCTATCTGATGGTGGTTCTATCTGATGGTGGTTCTACCTGATGGTGGTTGCCCCTGGCTTACTACTCACAGATGGTGGGTTTCGGGACAGAGGATGTTGTATGTGTACAGACTGTAAATCCCTCTGAGGCAAATTTGTAATTTGCAATCTTGGGCTATACAAAATAAAATAAAATGAATTGTAGCCTACATCAACACTCATTAAAATACTAATTAAAAAACAAAGAAACATTGAGTTTTGCTCAGCCAACAGAAAGGAGGCAGAGGCCCAAAAAACAGGTGGAGGACCTCCTCCACCACCCCAGGACACAAGTGACTACATCAGATGCAAGTATACACCATTTGCAAAAAGACGTGGCGCGATGCACAAGATTTGCTCCGATGTGAGTGCACGTCCGCGGTGTGCGAGTTTGGTGATAGACGGCCGGAGAATGTTAGTGAGATAAATGATCCCTTGTGAGGAAAGCGGTAGCGTTCTAACAGAAATTCCTCTGGAAATGATAAAACGTCTAATCTGGGTCGGAAGACTCTCTCGCGACGTAAAGCATTTCGAATCACTAAGGCTTCGATGTTAATTGGATTCGGTAGGAACGGACAATCCATGTCTACCAGCATCTTCATGTGGGAGGAGACGGTAGAAAGGTTTCTTATAGTAAACCTGCCAGCGAGCAGGTGATGTTCACAGAGTCTGTTACCATGGTGATTGACTCAGAGTCTGTTACCATGGTGATTGACTCAGAGTCTGTTACCATGGTGATTGACTCAGTCTGTTACCATGGTGATTGACTCAGAGTTTCACTTACCTCTATCTGGAACGGATAACTCAGTTTCCCTGATCTCAGGGTTAACTTACTCTGAGTTTTCACATAACCCGCTTTCTGGAATACCCCCCTGGTATCAGGAAAAACCCAAACGATACTCATCCATAATCGATAATCGTAAACGTAAAAATACTTTCTTGGGGCCTAATTGAATGGTGGGGAAATATGCCTTGGAATTCTCATTGTTAGTTTAAATACATTTTCTCACTTTTTCATGTATACACAGAGATTTCACAAAGTTTCTGGTCATGGAAATTTGGTTTGAAGTCATGGAAAAGTCAAAATGTATGAGCCCTGTATAGGTCTGAACCACCTGAAAAGAAAAAAAGGATAAAACTGCATTTTCTGCAATAACGGAAATGTCCATCCATCCATCATCAAACCGCTTATCCTGCACACAGGGTCGCGGGGGGGCTGGAGTCACCATTTTTAAATAAATGTTGATTGTTAGAATGTTGTTTAGAACTGGTAGTTTAAATTAAATAGTATCATCACTGCTAATTAAAGTTTGAATGGAATTCAACGTTTAAACATAAGACGATTTAATTCCTGATCGATTATCATTGCAGGTGGCTTAGACTTTTACTTTCTTAAATTGGCTTTTGAATTGATTTTCATTTTAATTCTACATTCAGATAATTTGGGTTTTTGGTTTCCTTCTCTCTCCAGTGTTTAATCTCCGGTTTCCGGATTTTTATTTTTTAATTAACTCAAGACATAACTAGTTTGATTTTCTTGGACCAGTTCAAGATTGATTGATTGACTGTATTGATAGCGTATTGATTTATTATTTTGACTCAGCGTTTTGATTGACTGTCTCCCTTTCAGGTCCAGTAGTTTACCGTGCGTTGCTGATTTCAGTTGGCAATCTGATTTAACATTTTTGTAGGATTCATTAATTTATACTTTGCATCATTTGTAGTTTCCTCAGTCAGTGACAGAGTAGAAACTACAAGAAAAGGGGCAGCTCAGGGGTGTTTAGAATACACCAGGTTGCATGATGGTTGCGCTTACGACTCAGGAATTGCTGGGTAGAGCCAGAGAGTGCATGACGGAGGGGAGTAGGGGGACTGATGATGGAGGTAAGAACTGCAGACTACTGATGCAGCAACTTCTGACAAATCTGATATCTGCAGCAGCGGAAGCAAAAAAAAAGACAACTGCAGGTGAGAGATGAACAGACCTCCTAAACTCAGAGATGGGCTGTAAATTGTTGAGTGCTGCTATAGAGTGTATAGTGCAGAGGTCTCTAACTCATTTTAGGTTTGTACCATTAAAATCATGGAGGGGGAAGATGGCGCAGTGAGCAGTCACGTAACTTAGAGCTCTCGGCGGTGATAAACCCTCAATCATAATTTAAACAAATAGATTCAATATAATATAGAAGGGAACTTTTAAAGAGGTCGGATATATGAAGAAAATCAAGTCAGTGATGATAGAAAAGGAATTTCAATGGTGAGAAGAACGGGTCCGGTGCGGAGCCAGCTAGCCTAAAGCAACTGGTAGACTTGCTAGCACCCAAATGCAAACAACTGGATGAGGTGAAAAATTAGGTTAAAGAAGCCAAATGGGATAAGCGATGTGAGGAGAGAGGTGAAGGAAGAATTTGACAGGATCCGGAGAGAAACTCTCTCGGCAAGGATTAATGCCGACATGAAAACGCAGCATGACCACATGGAGGACACGCAAACACGCATAGCTGAACTGGAAGAATGGCAGACAGAAGCTAAGATGCTAACTATGGGGGCCCAGACCCAAAAGGTTGCAGGAGAAAATGACGGACCTCGAGGGGAGGTCGAGGAGGAACAACATTTGCATCTTTGGCATACCGGAGGGCACGCAGGAGAATTCGATAGGCAAGTCATTTTATTTTGTATAGCCCATAATCGCAAATTAGAAATTTGCCTCAGAGGGCTTTACAGTCTGTACACATACAACATCCTCTGCCCCAAAACCCACCATCGGCACAGGAAAAACTCCCCAAAAAATGAAAAGTACCTGCGGCTGCTTCCTAACCACCAAACTCGAAGTGCCTAGCGACATCCAGCTCCAGATACAGGGCGCGGGCCTCCGAATGCACCCTCAAGAGCAATGGTAGTGAACTTCCTAAAATTCGAGACCAAGTAAATGGTGCCCAGTCATGCATGGAAGAGGAAAATTCACGTGGGAGAGAAGAGGATTTTTTTCGACCATGACTACGCAACTGAAGTGGTCCAGAAGAGAAAGGCGTACGGGGCCATAAAGAAAATACTGAAGGGAAAACAGATCCGCTTCCAGACCCCGCTAGAGTCAAGACCTACGACAGTGCAGAGGACATGGTGAGAGACATGGAGAGGGTACGAGGTGGGAGAAGGCACCGCGACCACAGGGAGGGAGAAGATAGGAGACCGGGCAGAATGGCAACAGACGACTCAAAGACGGGAGGACGTCAGCGGCTGCTGCCAGAGAGAAGCTGAGGGGCGTTCAAAGAATGAACTGAATCTGGCTTGTGGACCCAAATGGATGTTTTATGGATCCCAGTCTGACGGGCTCCAAGGTATGTTAACGGACCTACTAAATCCAACACAACTTAAGCCGATTGATAGAGACCAAAATGATGGAGTTGGACATAACTAGTCGGAGGGAAACCCTACGGAATGGGTTTGACTTTGGTCAATAACCCTATATAACTTTGCTTGTATAGGGTTATTGATCTAGGAATAGATGGGTATGACCATCCAATGTTAATTGATTGAATGCAAGAAGATGCATTCAATTGGGTGCAAGAAGAGGAACAAGGTAAAAACTAAAGAAGGATAGAGCCCAAATTATATATCTGCAGGAGACTCACCTCAACAAAGTAGAACATGACAGGCTAAAGAGATATGAATAACTAATTGGAAATTGAATGTGGGTCTACTGAATGATAAACAAAGAAAGGACAAAATCAAATTGGGAATATAAAACTGTTACGGAAAACGACAATGAGATGGTGGAGCCAACGATGGTTTGGGACGCCTTGAAGGCAGTTATGAGAGGCAGATTAATTTCAGAATCAACCTATGCAAAAAAACATGAAATAACGTATACGAAAATATAGAAAAACAGGATTGGAAAGAGACTACCAGAATTCAGCTGACTTGGACACACAAAAGAAAATTAAACTCGTAAAATTAGAGATAGATAAACATCTAACAGAGGAGGAAGTTATTATGAGATCGGCCCGAGAGCCACTAAACTATTGGCGAGACGGACCCATAGGCAACTCGCGGCTAGTCAAATCCATAAAATTAGGGACCCCCGTACGAACCAATTGATAACAGAGCCAGAGGATATAGAAAGAACATTCCAGAGAGATTATGAGGAGTTATATACACAGCTAGAGTCTAAACAAGACTCCTCTCTTTGTGCAAACACACTGGACCTACCAAAGAAAGGACAGACACAGAACGATGTCCTAACAAGGGATATTTCAGTAGAGGAGGAAGTGGAGGCAATAAATACCTAAACCGGGGAAAGATAGGGAATTATGCAGAAATAATCGTCCAATATCGTTACTAAAAGGTTATATACATCTATTATTGCTACACGACTACACGCCCTTACACGGGATTTGATCGACGAGGACCAAACGGGATTTGTGAGCGGGCGACAGACGCACGATAACATTAGGAGGACACTGCGCCTTATGGACCAGGCAAACAAACTGTCATGATCTGACTGATCTGGTGTGTTTTCTAGTTTCAGGCTGGGCGAGCAGGTTTCCACGGTTACCTCGGCGGAGTCTGGTGGCTGCCTGCTGTCACACCTGTTGTGCATCTACCATTGTCAGGAACCCTTCTTAAGGAGCAGCAGGAGCACCAGTCTTCAGCAGATCGCTTTGCCCTCCGTGTGGTAACTTAGCAGCGCTCACCAGAGTTTTGATTAACAAAGAAAGAGTTTTTGTGCACTTACCTCGTCTCCTTGTCCCAGCCTCGTCCAAGCCTTGTTCCTCCCGAGTCTGAATGCTTCCTTTCTCATCTCACCCGCCACAACTCTGGAAAACTCCCTCCAGCCGGTCAAGTCGCTACCTCTCCATCCAGTGTGGTTTCCACCAGATCACATTGCTCCTGCCGCCCGGACCCTTGTGCTTACCTGTTTTCGCCAGCGTTCCCCCGGCCACGGTTCAGCGCTGCTTATGGAAATCCCACTTCTGCTGAAATAAAATTATTTTTTCATCCACTGAATCCTGCTGTTGAGTCCTACCTTTGTTTGGGCTGTCACCCCGTGACACAAAAGAGACTCAATTCTGGTTGGCGTAGATGCCGAAAGGCGTTTGACAGGGTGAATTGGACTTTCCTATTCACAGTGTTGGAGAAGTTTGGATTCAACAATAAATCAATACAGATTATTCAAACTCTATATCAACGACCTACAGCTAGAATCAAAATAAACGGAACCCTATCTAACCAGACAGGGATGCCGTTTGTCACCAACCCTGTTCGCATGTTTTATTGAACCACTGGCCCAAGCCATACGCGAAAAAGACGAGTCAGTGGGTGGAGTACAACATATGGTCGGACAGATGACGTCATTGCATTCCTTGAACGGCCCAGTGAATCGTTGCCTGAATTAATAAGAACAAATGTATCACCCAGACTTTATACATGTTCCAAGCATTATAATAAAGCCTCAAACACAATTTGTATCATGGGACAGGATGATATCCAGATTCATATGGGGGGCAAGAGAGAGATTCAGAACCCTCCAGCTAAAGAGGGAGAGGGGGGCCTGAGTCTGCCCAACTTGAAAGACCACACGGCCCAGCTGAGACATGGACATTGTAGGTGTAAACTTGGAATGGAAAGAAATGGAAAAATCGTTTAGAATGTGTCCGGTACAGAGTATTACACAGGGAAACATTTAAGAAGGTTAGAAATCAAATGGATTCAATCGCAAAATTGACCTAGAGAATTATGGTTAAAAAATTACTTCGACATAGTAAAGCGGAGAACGACACAAATGTATTGAAATGGGGGGCTTTAGGAAAAAGGAAAGAAAATAGGAAAATAGGAAAAAGGAAAGAGAATTTGACATGAAAATATCTGAAGATGAATGGGACAAGATTTGGGAAAAACATAAGACAACAACCTGTTGGTGAGTCATGTTGGAGGAACTGTGGGTCACCTGAGGCCAACCATGCACATATATTCTGGAATTGTCACAAAATAACAGGGTTTTGGGCAATGGTCCATAAGATAACGCAAGAGATTCTGGGATACGGATTTCATATGAATCACAAGCTGATGTATCTGTGTATGTACACAGAGATTATCTATGCGTATCTATTCCATCTATTCCATCTATTCAAGATACTCATGGGTGCAAGCAAAAAGGCCATCACAAGGACGTGGGGGATGAAAGATCTACCCACTCGGACCCATTGGGTGGACACAGTGGGGGAAATACATATCATGAGAACACTGACACAAAGGCTACAGCCGACAGGACCACAGATGGACCGTAAATGGAGGAAGTGGACTCGATGGCAGTTGACACACAGTTGGGCACTCCTCGACTCCTCCGCTCTCCTCACTGGTACCGGTGGCTCATCCAGTTCTAAACACTGGTGCTCACGTACCATGCTGTGAATGGATGGGGTCCAGCTTCCATCCAGGACCTGGTCCAACCCGACACCCCGACCCGCACTCTCCGCTCTGCATGTGATAAACTGCTTGTTCCTCCTCACTGAGAGCAAAACACTCCACTAGATCTCCACTCTTTGCTGTCCTGCTCCTAAATGGTGGAAGGAGGTCTCTGAAGACATCAGGACCACAGAGAGCCTTCACATCTTCAGACTAAAGACACACCTCTTCACACTCTACCTCCACTAACACACTAACTAACTAGCACTTACTACTGCTCGTGTACCGTTGAGGCAACACATAGTTGGACATCCTGGCGCCATTTTGCATAATCTTTATAATCAAGATCCTTTGGACGGATGAATTTGAAGAGAAGAGAGTGGCGAAGTAAAGGAGCAGCTCATGAGCCCAAACACACCACCTCGTCTGTCAATCATGGTGACTGCCAATGGAACTGTTGGAAGGTCGCGTTGCCCGAAACTGCTCATTTGCGGTGTTTCTGGTGTTTTTTTCAGCGATCGTCACAGAGCTGAAATGACAACTGACAGTCGGGCAAAATCCAACTGTTACTTTGAGAGCGCACTCTCGACCAATCAGAATCCTGGATTTAATCTACCCGTATTGTAAAATGGGGTAACATGTTATTGGGCATGTGACCAGGCCCCAGAGCACAATAAACGCTGCGTAACAATCACGGTACCTGCTGTAATATTCTGTTGGTTTGCTAGATCGCTCCCAGTATTTGGATCTTATATCTATTCAAAGAGCAAAATTCAGTTTCCAAGTTGCGTGACTTTGTCATGATGTTTATAGCCAGTGGGTCCCAAACTGGGGGTCGCGACCCCTGGGGGGGCGTGGTGGCGACATGAGGACTTGCGTTGTGTTCGAGTCTCGCCCTGCAGAGCGGCTCAGGGTACAAGCGCAGCAAAGAGGCAGACAGAGACAGAGACAAAGGGAGAGACACTAGACCTGCTCATTCATTCCCAGCTGCTTCTCATCTCGTCATCCTCTCTTCCCCTCACCTGTTCCTACCTTCTGCAATTAGACCCTCCATCTCTAGCCTGCCTCTTCCCCTTGTTCTCTGCCAGAGTATTGACTATGCACCCAACGTACCTGCTGTCTCGTTTCTCCTGCCCTGCCTTGTCGTGTCCTAACCAGGGCTGTAGTGGAGGGTAAACGCACGTAAACGCCGTTCACGCACCTCTGGAATTTTGGAAATAGCGTTTACGCACCTATAAATAGCGTTTACGCACCTATAAGTGGCGTTTACGCAGCTCTAAGTTCCCTGCGCCTTGTATAATTCCGTTGGAATAATCCGAATTAAACTTGGTGTAATTTAAAAACAGCTAAGACTACGTTTCCTATTGTTGAACATATAAACGCCGTAGTCTGAATCCTTTTCATCTGCGCTGTATTACGGTCTGTGAGCATCCAATCAGTGCCTTGCGGCTGCAGCAGCGACACCAATCAGGATCCAGGAGGTGTGTAAACACACGCTGTGGATCAGCCCAGTGGTCCCGGACCTTTCTTACCTCACGGACCGGTTTCATGTCAGACAATATTTCGCGGTCGAGAAGGTCCGACGGGGGGGGTAGTCGCGCGCTCTGTGTTCGCTGGTCGTGCACGGTAAGAGGACGAGAAAAACGCCAGTGACGCGCGCACATAATTAGGAGAAAATCCGGTCAATGTTCAAAGGCTCTGCCTCCCCTGTCATTATCTGTTGCTTCACTGAATAGGCCTATATGCTTAATCAATTATTTGAAGTCATGAAATTTGTAGAGTGGCCTGTAAGCGAAATACACTGTAAACATAAATTAGAAAACAAGTCAGTTCTCAATGTGAAAAAAAACATGCTGATGAGTGTTCCTTTAACTTATGTTGTCAGTGTAATTGACAGGCTGCTTAACTGGTTAACTCTTAAATTCAACATGTTTGTTCAGGCAGTGAGAGGACAGGCAATGATGCAGAGAGCACAGGGAGAGAAACACCAGGTCCAATAGAGAGAGAAGCACAGAGGAGCCATGAACCCCAGAACGTGTGTTCTGGGGTTCATGGCTCCTCTGTGCAAGGCAGGACCTGACGTGGAGGACAAGGAGGCCCTCTGGGCACTACTGTGAAAAGGAGACTCTGTAGTTCTTAATCTGCAATTGTCTTGTTGTGTTGACATACTTCTCTTTACTGTTTTCTTAAATTTAATAAACTACAAACTAACCATTTATTCATTGTCATTGATTGTATATGACTTTTACTGATAACATAATGCAATATAGCCAGGACAGCCTTACAGAGTCGCGACGCTTTGTGTTGCGTTGCTTCGCATCGCGTCGAGGTCTGTATGATCACAAACTTCAGAGTTTACCCACCTCTAATTTTACCACTACAGCACTGGTCCTAACGGCTCGTGCCTTACGGTGTGGCCCGAGTCCAAACCTCTGTTCCAGCCAGCCTCCCGTTTGACGTGGGCGGCCTGCTGTCTGGAGTGATGGCAAAGTGAAGCTTTGCAGCCAATTGTATCGGAAAAAGGTTCATTCATTCAATGCATCGCAAACTCTATGATGACCTCTGCTGTTGAAAACCTATAGTGCAAATGGGTCGAATAGCCTACCAGTATATTTTGGCCCAGTCTCTGTGGGTTGAACATGATTATGAAAAGTTGAACCAATAAATCATCTAATAAACACATGGATTCCTATATGAATAAAACTATTGTTTTTCAGCTTTGACTTGTGTCCTTGTTTGTGTATTTCAATTCTCTGTACATTGGTAAGAAGTGGAACAAACACTTATCTATGTCTTTCTGCACCTTTGTGCATGTATGTTTGTGATCATACTAGCAGAAGAATTTATATATATATATATATATATATATATATATATATATATATATATATATATATATATTTATTATGTATGTAAGTAATATCATTTAAAATACCAGAAAGTGCTTCCTACAGCATGTGCAGTTCATGGCAGTCACAGGGAATTATGTGAATTGTTTGAATGTGGAATGTGGGAAGTGATTGACAGAGGAATTCTTGAGGTGCTTGTGGACACGTGGGATGGGGCATGAAATTATTATTGATTTTTATTGAGAAACACAAATTTCTCCACAGTATTGGGGTTGAGTCGGTTTCATAGACACTGTTTCCCCCTCCTGCCTCACGATGAGGCAGGAATGCTCATAAGATTACGTGCTAATACAAATAGATGTGGGTACACGTGTGTGTGTTTGGACCCAATATTTTAGCGGCTCTTCACTCCGTGGAATGTTTGATTCAGCCAAATATCGGGTGGTCTTCCACAATAAAAATAAACATCCATAATTACACAATACAAATGACCACTTTGCCTGCCTATTGCCAACCTTGTTAGAAGGAAATCCAAATTGAAGTGCTCCCACATCTCGGAGCGACCTCTCTTTGCCACAGGATTCCATTGGAAATTTGCTCTTTGCTACTACTACTACTACAACTAGTACTACCACTACTACTACTACCACTACTACTACCACTAGTACTACCACTACCACTACCACTACTACTACTACAACAACTAGTACTACCACTACTACTACTACCACTACTACTACCACTAGTGCTACCACTACTACTACCACTACCACTACTACTACTACCACTACTACTACCACTAGTACTACCACTACCACTACCACTACTACTACTACAACAACTAGTGCTACCACTACTACTACCACTACCACTACTACTACTACAACAACACTGACTCTGGAGCGCTCTTCCCTCGCCCTGGAGCTTGTTCCCTGCACTCGCTGGAATTCCCCGTCGCCGGCCAAGCGCCCGCGCCTCTTCTGTTAAGCCTTTAGTGCCATTTTGTTTTTGAGACCACCTTGTGGCTACCTTAGTTCCTTTTTGCCTTGAACATTCTAAGTTTATTAAAACAGACTTTACCTGCCCTTGCGTTTGGGTCCTCTCTCCTCCATCCACACAACAGAGACATTAACTTTTACACTAACAGCAGATTGTGGAGGTGGGTTTGCTTGGTACAGGCACAGGCAGGCCGGTGTCATGGCCGGCAGGCAGGAAGAGGTCTTGTAAAGTCTTGCGTGTGTTGCAGAGCGATTCACCTCCAGAACAACAGGTGGAGTCACGTGTTTTGTTGAAGACGACCTGGAGAGTCACGTCTATTTATTTATGTATCATAGACTTTATTGCCTCGTGCATCCACACTGCTGCTTTTCATCACGGACACATTTGTCCCGTATTTTCCTCCACGACTTTGTTCATCTCGACCGGCAAACCGGCGTTTGCGGCGATCTCCCTCCGTGAATCCAACCCATATATTCCCGTCATATTCACGCATTTCCTCTGACAAAAGTTCTTAAATCTGCTCCGTTCTGTGGTAAACATGCTTGGTTTTAATAATGGCGCTGTCGGGCTCCGTGAAGGACGTAGTCAGCAACACACGCAAGACTTTTAGAAGCATGAATTGAAACGAGTGCGTAGACGCAACGACGCAGACGCAAACGCAGAAGCATGCGCCGGCCTTAATTCTGAAATCATGCGGGGGGGGGGTTCACGGGCGCGGAATGTAGCGCAACCCCCCCTTGACCGGCCCATCGCCGAGGATTTTACCTTGCCCCCCCTCCCCGTTAACCGCGATTATCCGCGCCCGTGCCCCCCCCCTCCCCCCTTTTCCAAGGCTAATGTTTTGTCTAGCCTTATGTATTGGAAAAGTTATTGCATGAATGTACATGAATTTCTCTCTAAATGTTTGAAAAAGTGACCTGTAAATATTGTCGTTAGGGTTAACCTAACTGCTTTTTTGTTCATATGATAATGCTAAATGTGGAAAAACTGCGCAGGATTTTGGAACGTGCAACATTTTACAAATGGCGCCCCATACAGCCTTAGCAGGTCAGCTAGCGGTTGTTTTGACCTGAGCGTTGTCTTGCAGGGATATCGCCGACACTGTATTATTGTCACACGATACGCACATGGGCTCGGACATCGCTGTTATTAACTGAAAGTTAGATGATGTTTAGATAGTGCTTGTTTTATGTGAATGCTGTTTTGTTAATTAAAGCAGAAACAACGTGCATGTCGAACTGAATGCCTGGTGCCGTTTCTGCTGTTCAACTGTATCCGTCCTACAGGTTAATCATTCAACTTTGCTGCTGTGCTCCCATTCCTGGGACCCGTAACATAAGTCACTCCTGATTATTATGCACAACTGCAAAATGTGCAGCATAATGCCAAGTCAAGAGAGACTCCAAAAGCAGAAGGACAGGGAATATATCCTGTGTTTGTTCATTTTATTGTTCATATTTTCAATTTGCTGAATCATTTTGGCGATGAATGCCCTTTTGTTTTGAGCCTGATATTGCATCAAACAGTGCACTGATTAATGAGTATTGCTGTGTACATTAATTAACACAAAATAATCTTTGTGTGGTGAACTGCTGTTGCTAACACATATTGGCCTCGGTTTATTTATTCATATTCATTAACTTGTATAATGTTACTCTGGTATGTGTTTGTGTCACATTAGCATTTCTAGCATACACACTTTCTATTGCGGGGACTTTTACTGTGAAAATGTGCGCACTTCCGGTCCAGCTGCTGCGCTCCCTTCCTGTTTAAAAGTCAGGGAAGACAAACACGGGATTTTGGTTTCGATGCCCCGTCGTTCTACAATGAAGACGCAGCTTTTTGTCCGCCTCACTCCGGTTAAAGATACGTGTTGTTTGAACAGCAGAAGAGCTTTTTAATAAATGTTTATATATCAAGCGTTCTAATATTCCAACAATCCAGAAGAACCAGCCGGCATTATGGAGGGAGAGGAGGAGGAGGGAAAAATGGCGACATGTTCGCGGAACTTAAAAGCTTGAATATCGTCAAACTGTAGAAACGGGTGTTTGTAGAATGCGTCGGTCGCTCTTCTGTAAGTGTCTCGCAGCACAAAGAGGTTCTGAGGTGAAGTTATCGTGACTTTAACTAACGCCGCTGTTGTTTAGGTGCGGTCCTCTGTGTCTCCGTCCTCGTGACTCCAGGGACGTGTTGTCTGTCCAAGGAGTACGAACTACCGGACGGCTGGTGCTGTCCGATGTGCCACGAAGGTAAGCGGACACTCCACCAGCGTCTCCCGGGTTTACAACAAAGTGTCGCTGCAAACAACACACGGACATATTTATACTCATGTCCGTGTGGACCTGGATTACATTGAGAATATGGAAAACTTATTTGTTTCTCTTTTAAATCTTAAAAGAGTTTTAAGATTAAGGTTAAAGTCACATTAAGATTAAGATTAAGGTCACAAAAGCGAAGCGAATTATTCGCGTGAGCAGAGTCCATGTAAAGTAAATGCACTGACGCGTCTGGACGCGAATGGGGCGAATTTCAAACGGCGCGAATGACGCAAAAGACGCGGCGCGAAAAAGCGAAACGAGCGACACGAATAAATCGCTCTTTCGCCCAAAGGTGAAATATTCCAACGAAAGCCAATCAGCGTTGAGATGCTCCGCTCGTCATCACTGAACACACGTTATTAAACAGCCGCTCAAGTTAGTTAGTGTGTGACCGAGAGACGCACCGAGCCGACACAACAGGTCATCAGACCGGCTGCTGGTCCGCCTGAAGCAGCGTGTAGTTAAATGATTCTATTGAAGCTCTGATCCAATGGGGTTACGTTAGGCACCTTATCTGCTGTTCTGATTGTTTCCCATCGCTGATGATCTGAAGGTGCTTTTGTCTTGAACAGGTTCAGTGGTTAAAAGAGACTGCACCCCTCATTCAGGCACGCGGTGCGTCCCCTGTGTGGACGGGACGTATATGGACCAACCCAATGGGCTGACTAAGTGCTTCTCCTGCAGCTCCTGTGACCAAGGTACGTCCATAATCAGCTGAGTCACCTTTCACTCTCAGGACACCCTCCTGTTATTATACTGGACAAAATTAAACCAAATAAAAGGCACAAAGCAACTATTTGCAACCCTGGTAATGGATGCAACTTGATTCCCAATGAATCTGATGATGTGCTGTGAGGTTGATGCCACGTTGGCTGTAAAGAGGACCGTAGTCATTGTGTTGTAGCAGGTAAGTGTTTTATATGGAGCCTTGAATGCAGCACATTGTATATCTGTACAGTTTATTATCAGTGATACAGCTTATTGACATTATGAACTAACAATACAGTAAATGTATCAATGTCCACAAACGTTGTCTTTAAGTGGAAAAATGAGTGATGTAATTACAAAGTGACTTGCTTTATCTTTTCTTAGTACTTTTACTTACCTGTCTGTCACGTTTCACAATGTCAATTCCCTGCGTCTACATTCAGTTTTTATTTTGTGACAGACTTCATATAATACAGCTCTTTCTCTTTAAGCTGTAAGGTAGTTTTCCATCGACCTCTCTGCTCTTCTGTCCGTCTCATATCATTCAGTTCATTTGTTGCAATCCGCTGTCCAGCATCTTTGTTTAACTATAAAATAATGAGTCTGTGTTGGTTTTCAGGCCGTGGTCTCTTTGCCAAACAGAACTGCACATCAACAAGTGACACCGTCTGTGACGTCATCGCTGGTCACTTCTGCACGGACCTGATAGAAGATAAAGAATGCCGTTCGGCACGCAGACATTCAGACTGTGAACCTGGTCACAGGGTCAAAGAGCCTGGTGAGAAAAACTCCCGTCACACAGTGACTACGTCCACGGCTCGTGGTGGTGTAGCTGGTTATTGATCTCTTTGGCCACAGCTCAGGCACGTCTGTGCCTCATGTCCATGTCCAGCACACCTTCTAGGTCTCCTCCAGTCTGGTCTCTGAGGCCTGAACTCTTTCACTAGATTCAGCATGCAGACACCACAACGTATACGAGGATAAGCAACGGTTCTTCTAAGTACAGCTGCAGTAAACATGATCTCTATACTCCAACTGGCCTCCTCAGGTCACTTACAGCAGGATTTATTGAGCCTCTCAGGTAGCGTGAACGTCATCAGGTCTCGGGTACGAGTGTGCATGAGCACTCCCTTGATGAACACATGGATCTGATTCATGATGCTGGTCGTTGGGTTCCTGTGTCGTTCATCTCAGCTTTGTCTGTTTCTCCAAGGGACCAGAAGATCTGACACAACGTGTGAACCTTGTCCCGCAGGCAGTTTTTCACTGGAGGGTGTGAATTGTTCACTTTGGACCACGTAAGACCTTGTTTGTTAAAGAATGTCTGTAAAAAGTGTGTTGTAATAAACGTATAAGCATAGTGATCCCACTATGCTTATACGTTTATTACGTTGACCAGTAGTCAAGTTTCCCCTGAGATGGACCAACCCCCCATCGGGAGATTCAAGACGTCACCAACCCCCCAGGCCCGTTTCATTTGGTCACTTTCAATACATCTACAAGCGTTCCTGGTAATGTTCCGTTTTTAACACCAAAAGCACTAAAGCTCTTCTTCATTTCTCTTTTTTGACAGTTGTTCAGAAAACCAAGTGGAGGTCAAAGGAGGAAACCTGACCAGTGACACTGTTTGTGGAGCTGCTTCAAGAGGCCTTTACTGGTTAATACCTGATGTCCTGATTGTACTTGTAATGGTACTAATAGGAACACTGGTTGTCCTCTGGATCAAAAGTTAGTACTTGTCTTTGCAACCCTCATCTGATTGGCTGACATGACTCTGTTCCATCGTTGCCTTCACAGCCTTATTGTTTAAGCTGATACCTTTCTTGCGTTTGTATTTCAGGGAGAAATCAATAGAACCAACAGGTACGTTGGCTCCATATGCAAATGTTTGTCTCAAATAGGCTGCACCACATTAAATCTGCTCCATCACAGAGAACCTCCCCCCTGTAATCTGGGAAACAGGGAACCGTATTTTGCATTAGTGCGCTAATTGAACTCGTACGTTAACCCTCAACCTGAGGAACCCGTTCTGGAAGAAGATCTTTGCTCAAGTGTCAGAGTCCGACTTTTACAAGCTTCATGAGGTTGAAGCCTGCTGGATGTTGTTGGGACGCCTCAAAGTTAATTCATTAAATGCAAATGTCAGTGAAGACGGACTAAGTAGTAGCAAGTAGCTCAGACTGCTGCGCCCCGTCGGTGAGCAGAGAACAAGATATCTATCTGCACGCTGCATGACGGAGTGTGCAGCTGTTCAACCCGTATGCCGCCCAGCCCGAGTGCACACCACGACATCTGACCCACTTCTGTCTCACTAACACAAGTAATAACAGCACACACATTCACTACATACAGGTATGTTCAACCACCCGTGATCCCATAACTTCAGCATCTCTCTGGTGTCTGGAGGAGTTCAGTTCAGTGGCTGCAGGACGAGCTGTTCTTCCATGTGGTTTGAAATGAGTGCTGTGGGACAACGGTCCAACGTGTTGACATCTCAGCAGGGGCCCGGGAGCCGCGTTAGCATCTGAGGAAGAGGCGTCGGCGTGTCTGAAGGAGGAGTCCAGTCGGGAAGTACCTCAAGGAATGTTGAGCGTAGCATCTGGGGAAGAGGCCAAAAAGCTGTTGGCGAGGGTGAGGGAAATTGGAGGTTGACCAGCTGGAGCTAATGGAGGGAGCCAAGGACCGCCGCCTCATCATCACAACTAGGGATAGCCAGAGGGGAAGTACAGGCTCAGCGTACTCACACTTATGCCCCTGGAAGAACCCACCATTACTACCATTACATACCATTGTATTCCGCCTGCTTGATTTATAGGCTGGGATCACACTAGGGATGGGGCCGATCCGATCCAGTATCGGTATCGGGACCCGATACCAGAGAAATTCGGGTATCGGATTTTCCGATACAACCTTTGGAGATTTCCGATATCAATGAGCCATGTCTGCGCTTTAACGTCGTCTGGTGAAATGACTCCAAAAGTGATCCCCGCCTGCTAGCCTGCAAGTCTGCTAGCCTGCTAGCTGGCTAGCTGTCTCATGAGCCGCTAGCAGGCTCTCTCATTGAGCAGCGCCTCCGTTCAGGAATCCATTCCACAGTTTGCAGCCGGCTAGCAGGATAGCGCTGAGGCTAGACTGTTTAGCACGGCAGCCAATATCGTGGATGGAAAAAGGAATCGTCTAACTGCAGAGAGCAGAAATGCTCATATTCCTCAAGAAGAACCTGCCGATGTCAGATTTGTTGAACACTACATCACTTCCTCAGAGTCAACTTTGAGACATTCAATTTGTGTTTTCTTTTAAAGAATAGTTAGACTCTGGTGTTTAGTTTATTCCAGGTCATCTTAAGTGCTGTTCTGATGCACACTGTTTTAAAACTTATTGTGTGTGTGTGAGTGAGTGAGACTGTGTGTCAAGTGTGTAAGATGTTTACAGTTATTTTATTGCACTTTTCTTCAGATATTTGACATGTTGTTCATGATACAAGAGTCAGTTTACTTGATTTGTGCTGTTATTTTTGTGAATGAGTGAGTGAGACTGTGTGTCAAATGTGTGTGTGTGTGTGTGTGTAAGATGTTCACACTTGCACTTTTCATATTTCAAAATTTTTAAGACTCAAGTATTTGACATTTATGAAATAAATATTGACATGACAATCAATCTGAAACCCTTAGTTTCAAATTTGTTTTAACAGGATTTCCTGTTTTTCAAACACAGCTCTGGTATTGGAATATTAACTGTATCGGCCGATATCCAAATTTAGGTATCGGGATCAGAAGTGAAAAAATGTGGATGGGTGCATCCCTAGTTCATACAGTCATGAAAAACCTGGAAAAGTCATGGAATTTTGTTAAATGAACCACATGAACATAGAAATATAATGTACAATGTACAGCTATGATTGTATTCAATGTAATCAACCGAAATCCGTCATGTGCTCAGAGGCGTGGACGCTGCCGCCCGCACCGACTCTAACCCAATCACCACAGAACTCTGTTAGACCAACAGCATAGTTAGTGCACCTTGATTGTCTTTACATGTACGTGTGTCCCCTTGTTGGGGATTCGTGGGTGGAGCCGGTAGACGGTTAACTACGTCGTAGTCAAAGGACTCGCTGTGGTCTGAGAATCCTCGGCTGAGGTGGTGACTTTTTTTTATTAAATTCTTTTGACTAACTTTTCGATCCGAGATGTCTTCTGTCCGTCTGGAGTTTCTTCATTTTGAAAGACAACAAACCATCAGAGGGCGACTGGCGAAGCTACACGGCGAGCAGCACGTCTCTCTCCGGCTAGCGGCTCTGCTGCTGGCGGCGGGTCCAAGTTGTAAAACGGCTTCCTTGCATTTTCTTACGCGAATGACCGGAGATCGTTTGATTCTTTCCGTTTTGTCTTTATTTTACGCAGCAAAGCGTCAACGTGACAGATAAACGATGTGCTCTCGTGCCTCGTGCAGCTCTTCTGTGTTGCACCTGCTGCAATCATGACGTCATACATGGAGACACACAAGGAGCGTCAGTCCTACATGAATGTTTCAATATCTTACATATCTTTAGTTCCAATGACCATAGATTAAATGATTAATACTTCCCAAATTCCAATGAAGTAATGCAAACACTTCCGGCTCTTAGAGACTGTACATATACTGTAAACTGTTAACAGTTCATATATTGTCCATAATTTGAAGTAAAAAAGGTATTGTTTTAGGTACTGTTTGTTTTAGAAGTGTGTTTTTAGCACTGGAGGGTATTCCAGAAAGGATTAACAAGCTTTGAGTGTGTCCTTGAACTAGTTGACTCACTCTGAGACGGGATGATCTGCATTAGTTCAATCGACTGAGTATGTTCACCTTGAGTTGAGCGCGTGCATGACGATTATAAAAAGACATCATCAATGGAGCCCTGATACCACGAGTCACCACGAGTCACCATGACAACAGTAAATAAAAGAGCTATTTCCCTGCGATGGAGTTGGAGGTCCTTCTGCAGGTGAGCGTGAGCACGTATTTCACAGCTGCAGCAGCGGAGGAGAGAGAGACTGCGTGGGGAAGAATCGCTGCCCGAGTCAACGCGTAAGTTTGAATGAACTGTTCCATTGACATGACATTTAACCGTAAGATCGTGGCAGCCTGTAGTTATGAATATAAGTAGGAAATGAAATCTTTTCATTTAGGTGCAATCCAACAGGGACAAAAGGACCTGGAAGCATCCATCCATCCATCCATCTTCAACCGCTTATCCGGGGTCGGGTCGCGGGGGCAACAGCTCCAGCAGGGGACCCCAAACTTCCCTTTCCCGGGCCACAGCTACCAGCTCTGACTGGGGGATCCCAAGGCGTTCCCAGGCCAGTGCAGAGATATAATCTCTCCACCTAGTCCTGGGTCTTCCCCGGGGCCTCTTCCCAGCTGGCCGTGCCTGAAACACCTCCCTAGGGAGGAGCCCAGGGGGCATCCTCACTAGATGCCCAAACCACCTCAACTGGCTCCTTTCGACGCAAAGGAGCAGCGGCTCTACTCCGAGCTCCTCGCGAATGGCTGAGCTTCTCACCCTATCCCTAAGGGAGACGCCAGCCACTCTCCTGAGGAAACCCATTTCGGCCGCTTGTACCCGTGACCTAGTTCTTTCGGTCATGACCCATCCTTCATGACCATAGGTGAGGGTAGGAACGAAGATTGACCGGTAGATCGAGAGCTTTGCCTTCCGGCTCAGCTCTCTTTTCGTCACAACGGTGCGGTAAAGCGAGTGCAATACCGCCCCCGCTGCTCCGATTCTCCGGCCAAACTCACACTCCATCTTCCCCTCACTCGTGAACAAGACCCCGAGGTACTTGAACACCTTCACTTGGGGTAAGGACACATTCCCTACCTGGAGTAGGCAATCCATCGGTTTCCTGCTGAGAACCATGGCCTCAGATTTAGAGGTGCTAATCCTCATCCCGACCGCTTCACACTCGACTGCGAAACGCTCCAGTGAGAGTTGGAGGTCACAGACGGAAGATGCCATCAGGACCACATCATCTGCAAAAAGCAGCGATGAGATCCGCAGCCCCCCGAACTGTAGACCCTCCTCCCCCCGACTACGCCTCGATATCCTGTCCATGAAGACCACAAACAAGATTGGTGACAAGGCGCAGCCCTGGCGAAGGCCAACCCCCACCGGAAACGCCTTCGACTTACTGCCGAGCACCCGAACACAGCTCTCGCTTTGGGCGTACAAGGATTGGATGGCCCCAAGCAAGGACCCCCTCACCCCGTACTCCCGCAGCACCTCCCACAGTATCTCTCGGGGGACCTGGTCATACGCCTTCTCCAAGTCCACAAAACACATGTAAACTGGTTGAGCATACTCCCAAGCCCCCTCTATGATCCTGGAAAGAGTGAAGAGCTGGTCCGTTGTTCCACGACCAGGACGAAAACCGCATTGTTCCTCTTCAATCCTTGGTTCGACTATCGGCCGAACCCTCCTTTCCAGCACCTTAGAGTAGACTTTACCCGGGAGGCTGAGTAGTGTGATACCCCTGTAATTGGCACACACTCTCTGGTCCCCCTTTTTGAAGAGGGGTACCACCACCCCGATCTGCCACTCTTTTGGCACTGTCCCAGACTTCCACGCAATGTTGAAGAGGCGTGTCATCCAAGACAACCCCCCAACACCCATTGCTTTTA